CAACCCCCCCCCGCCCAGCTTGCTCTCCTACTGGCAATGTCTCTTTGAACAGAAACCTGTTTTTTACACTGTCCTTATCTTTGGCTTTCCTCTTTTGTACCCTTCTAGCTTGTAACTATCCTTTGTCTAGTATTTTGTCCAAAACTGTGCTCCAGACCCAGGTGCAGTCTCAATAAGCTTTCCACTTCTATAAAGGTGTTAGAAAATATGAAAATACACTATATTATATAATTACTTTCCTAAGGAAAGACAGTAAATCAAAATGAAAGGTAACTCATTCCATTAGAATCCATGCAGATTTGTCTCCAAAATACTGTGAAAGAATCAGGCAAGAAAACAAATGTTAACATAAATAACTAGCAGAATCAGATGATACTGAATCCTCCAAAATTATGGAACACAACATCTCTACTTACTCGCTCCTGTCCAGCTGTATCCCAGATTAGGAATTTATGCAGCTCATTTTGGTACTGCACAGTCTTGGTCATAAAGGATGCTCTGAGAAGTTCAAGATTTTCAGAATACAAATATAAGTAAAATATAGTTCAAATACACAGCTCCCCTTTTATATATAAAATGCCAAACAATAAATATCTTCAAGGCATATTAATGCTAAAAATATAACAACATTTTCCTCTATTTTTAAAAAAGTGAAGTGTTTTTTATCATGCATAGAAACAGTGAAGAATGTCACACATACAGGCTGAAATTCATTACAAGCAGCAGGCCCGAAAGGCGAGACTAGTAACCTATACAGAGGATGGAATTCACCCAACTGAGTATGCCAGAACATAGAGGGGAGAAGTACGGTAAACGAACCTGCACCACCTTCCTCCCTAGCTTCCTAATGAAGCTCTAGGACATGTAGGGATGTGTTGCTACAAAAGATAGCATTTTTCATATCTTGCACTCCACCACAAGATACACAAAACACCCCTAAATACACATGGAGATTAAGGGAGATATTGCAAGCAGTCCATATGTGAGCCCTTCATTGCTGTACTAGCCTTTTCAAAATCTTAGTTGCCAACAGGTTTCATTTACTGCTCTCTCACTAGGGAGTAGCACAGAGTGGACACAAAATACAGAGAAGTCCCTGCTAACTTTCCCACTGAATTGTAATGAGGTTATGGGAATAAAGCAGTAGAGAGCGAAGCCCTCAAGCGCACTTTCCCATCAGTGTATCTTGATGTCTGTAAATCCCTGCCATTCCCAGACAATGCATTATAGTTTCATCAAGCACTGCATTATGTGTGTGGGACCCCTTTAGTGCATATTTAACATATTAATACAACATTAATTAACATATTAAACAACATTATTTTAGGAGAATTTCCTCCTTTGCTGCTGCTCTGTGAGGAATCTAAACATCTCCTGCAGGGGTAGGGTATAACCCCTGAAACCTAATGCTGGAAATGTGAAACAGTTCCCAACACTCCTATAAGTTTTATCAGTGTCATCTGCTCTTTCAGCAGAACCATTACACTGAGTGATGCAAACTAAGAGACCAACAGTAGGGGTGCACTGACAGAGATTTTGGGGGCCAATACCAATAGCCAGGGCCATCTCTCTGGGGGAGGTGAATCAGGGCAACTGCCCCAGGCTGTGCACGTTGGAGGGCCCCGCAAACATTGCTGTACAAGCTCTGCTGCAGCTGCTGGCTCTGTACTCTGGCCGCTCACCATCCTGATCCCCAC